CACAATGCTCTTCCAACTGAGCTACGCGGTCAGGACGGTTCGAGTAAGTGATATTTCGGAACAATATCTAGTTCCTTCAATACCAATGTGTTCTTGTAATATGAATTTTTTTCTGTGTTGATGTAGTGTACTCAGGTGAATAATATGATTGGGATGTTACTCTGAGTGCATATCCACACCGGGCGAGCTTGAAAAATATGCCCGGCCACGGTGGGATTCGAACTACGACCTTTGGAATACTAGCCCAATGCTCTTCCAACTGAGCTACGTGGGCTAGTATTCCAAAGGTCGTAGGTTCGAATCCCGCCGTGGCCAGGCATATTTTTCAAGCCTGCCCGGTGTGGATATATACTCAGAGTAACATCACACAAACATCTTATTCACCTGAGTACATTACACCAACACAGCAGATTTCAAGTTGTAACAATGCTGTCCAAACAAATTGTCAACAAGACCTTTCACAACAAGTTTGTAGCAAGCTTGTTAACAAGTTGTAACAATGCTGTCCAAACAAATTGTCAACAAGATTTTTCACAACAGGTTTGTAGCAAGCTTGTTAACAAGTTGCGACAATGCTGTTCCATCAACTTGTCAACAAGATATCTACTCAACAGGTTTGTAGCAAGCTTGTTAACAAGTTTTGACAATACTGTCCGAACAACTTGTTAACAAGATGTCTGCTCAACAGGTTTGTAGCAAGCTTGTTAACAAGTTGTAACAATGCTGTTCCAACAACTTGTCAACAAGATATCTACTCAACAGGTTTCTAGAAACCTTGTTTTAAAACAAGTTGTGACAATGCTGTCCAAACAAATTCTCAACAAGATATTTCCTCAACAGGCTTGTAGCAAACTTGTTAACAAGTTGTAACAATGCTGTCCAAACAAATTGTCAACAAGATTTTTCACAACAGGTTTGTAGCAAGCTTGTTAACAAGTTGTGACAATGGTGTCCAAACAAATTCTCAACAAGATATTTCCTCAACAGGCTTGTAGCAAACTTGTTAACAAGTTGTAACAATGCTGTCCAAACAAATTGTTAACAAGATTTTTCACAACAGGTTTGTAGAAACCTTGTTAACAATTTGTAACAATGCTTTCCAAACAAATTGTCAACAAGATTTTTCACAACAAGTTTGTAGCAAGCTTGTTAACAAGTTGTGACAATTCTGTCCAAACAAATTCTCAACAAGATATTTCCTCAACAGGCTTGTAGCAAACTTATTAACAAGTTGTAACAATGCTGTCCAAACAAATTGTTAACAAGATTTTTCACAACAGGTTTGTAGCAAGCTTGTTAACAAGTTGTAACAATGCTGTCCAAACAAATTGTCAACAAGATTTTTCACAACAAGTTTGTAGCAAGCTTGTTAACAAGTTGTAACAATGCTGTCCAAACAAATTGTCAACAAGACTTTTCACAACAAGTTTGTAGCAAGCTTGTTAACAAGTTGTAACAATGCTGTCCAAACAAATTGTCAACAAGATTTTTCACAACAGGTTTGTAGCAAGCTTGCTAACAAGTTGCGACAATGCTGTTCCATCAACTTGTCAACAAGATATCTACTCAACAGGTTTGTAGCAAGCTTGTTAACAAGTTGTAACAATGCTGTCCAAACAAATTGTCAACAAGATTTTTCACAACAAGTTTGTAGCAAGCTTGTTAACAAGTTGTAACAATGCTGTCCAAACAAATTGTCAACAAGATTTTTCACAACAGGTTTGTAGCAAGCTTGTTACCAAGTTGCGACAATGCTGTTCCATCAACTTGTCAACAAGATATCTACTCAACAGGTTTGTAGCAAGCTTGTTAACAAGTTTTGACAATGCTGTCCGAACAACTTGTTAACAAGATGTCTGCTCAACAGGTTTGTAGCAAGCTTGTTAACAAGTTGTGACAATACTGTTCCAACAACTTGTCAACAAGATTTCTCGCAACGGGTTTGTAGCAAGCTTGTTAACAAGTTGTAACAATGCTGTTCCAACAACTTGTCAACAAGATATCTACTCAACAGGTTTGTAGAAACCTTGTTTCAAAACAAGTTGTGACAATGCTGTCCAAACAAATTCTCAACAAGATATTTCCTCAACAGGCTTGTAGCAAACTTGTTAACAAGTTGTAACAATGCTGTCCAAACAAATTGTTAACAAGATTTTTCACAACAGGTTTGTAGCAAGCTTGTTAACAAGTTGTGACAATTCTGTCCAAACAAATTCTCAACAAGATAGTTCCTCAACAGGCTTGTAGCAAGCTTGTTAACAAGTTGTAACAATGCTGTCCAAACAAATTGTCAACAAGACTTTTCACAACAAGTTTGTAGCAAGCTTGTTAACAAGTTGTAACAATGCTGTCCAAACAAATTGTCAACAAGATTTTTCACAACAGGTTTGTAGCAAGCTTGTTAACAAGTTGCGACAATGCTGTTCCATCAACTTGTCAACAAGATATCTACTCAACAGGTTTGTAGCAAGCTTGTTAACAAGTTGTGACAATGCTGTCCGAACAAATTGTTAACAAGATATCTCCTCAACAGGTTTGTAGCAAGCTTGTTATAAAGTTGTGACAACGCTCTTCCAACAACTTGTCAACAGGATATCTCCTCAACAGGCTTGTAGCAAGCTTGTTAGCAAGTTGTGACAATGCTGTTCCAACAACTTGACAACAAGATATTTCCTCAACAGGTTTGTAGCAAGCTTTTTAACAAGTTGTGACAATGCTGTCCAAACAAATTGTCAACAAGATTTTTCACAACAGGTTTGTAGCAAGCTTGTTAACAAGTTGTGACAATGCTGTCCAAAGAAATTGTCAACAAGATTTTTCACAACAGGCTTGTAGCAAGCTTGTTAGCAAGTTGTGACAATGCTGTTCCAACAACTTGTCAACAAGATATTTCCTCAACAGGTTTGTAGCAAGCTTTTTAACAAGTTGTGACAATGCTGTCCAAACAAATTGTCAACAAGATTTTTCACAACAGGTTTGTAGCAAGCTTGTTAACAAGTTGTGACAATGCTGTCCAAACAAATTGTTAACAAGATATCTCCTCAACAGGTTTGTAGCAAGCTTGTTATAAAGTTGTGACAACGCTCTTCCAACAATTTGTCAACAGGATATCTCCTCAACAGGCTTGTAGCAAGCTTGTTAGCAAGTTGTGACAATGCTGTCCAAACAAATTGTCAACAAAATGTCTCCTCAACAGGTTTGTAGCAAGCTTGTTAACAAGTTGCGACAATGCTGTTCCATCAACTTGTCAACAAGATATCTACTCAACAGGTTTGTAGCAACCTTGTTTTAAAACAAGTTGTGACAATGCTGTCCAAACAAATTCTCAACAAGATATTTCCTCAACAGGCTTGTAGCAAACTTGTTAACAAGCTGTGGCAATGCTGTTCTATCAACTTGTCAACAAGATATCTACTCAACAGGTTTGTAGCAAGCTTGTTAACAAGTTGTGACAATGCTGTCCAAACAAATTGTCAACAAGATTTTTCACAACATGTTTGTAGCAAGCTTGTTAACAAGTTGCGACAATGCTGTCCAAACAAACTCTCAACAAGATATTTCCTCAACAGGCTTGTAGCAAACTTGTTAACAAGTTGTGACAGTGCTGTTCCAACAACTTGTCAAAACGATTTTTCACAACAGGTTTGTACACACATAAAAATGCAGAAGTTGAAACAAGTCTGCAAACAAGTTGTTACAAGTCTGTTCACAAGCTGTCAAGAAGTTGTGTTCGCACTGCTTGTTCCCAGTTGTTGTAACAAGTTTGAAACAAGCTGTTAACAACTTGTAACAAGCTTGATGGCATTATCAGCCTTGTTACAAGACTGTGCTAACAAGTTTGTTACAAAGTTTGTTACAGTCATGATATAACAAGAATGTTACAAGGTTGACGACACAAGTTTGTAACAATCTTGTTATATATATCAAGCATGTAACAGACTTGTCAGAACAACCTTGCAGCAAGTCTGATAATTTCGACAAGGTTGTTACAAGTTGCCAACAAGTTGTTCCAAACCTGTTCACAACTGGTGACAAGCAGTGCGACTTGTTGGCAGACTTGTTGGTGGCTTGTTGGCAGACTTGTTACAAGATGTGAGATTTTTACGTTTGTAGCAAGCTTGTTAAGAAGTTGTGACAATGCTGTTCCAACAACTTGTCAACAAGATGTCTCCTCAACAGGTTTGTAGCAAGCTTGTTAACAAGTTGTGACAATGCTGTCCAAACAAATTGTCAACAAGATATCTCCTCAACAGGTTTGTAGCAAGCTTGTTAAAAAATCGTGACAATGCAGTTCCAGTTTCAACAAGACATCTCCTCAACAGGCTTGTAGCAAGATTGTTAACAAGTTGTAATAGTGTTGTTCCAACAACTTGTCAACAAGATTTTTCACAACGCATTTGTAGCGAGTTTGTTAGCAAGTTGTGATAATGCTGTTCCAACCAATTGTCAACAAGATTTTTGACAACAGATTTGTAGCAAGCTTGTTAACAAGTTGTGACAATGCTATTGCAACAACTTGTCAACAAAATGTGTTTGTAATACAGCAGCTTCTTAACAAGTTGTAACAATGTTGTTCCAACAACTTGTCAATTATTATTACATATAACCTGAAGCATATAATTTACTGATGCAACGAGAAAACCTGGCTGGACATTTGTCCTTCGGGGAGAATTATTACTGTATTTGGAGGCCTGCAATCCAAACTACAAACTGTGAATTCAACACGCTCATAGGAATACGACTACAAACAGAGTGATTGCATTTAAAATTTACCTTTTGGACGCCACAATTTCGCAGTTGCCATAATCAACAAAACGAACCTTGAATCGATTGTTTGACATCTTTTCAAGAATCTTTGCCCGGTACCACATTTCATCATCGCTGAAGCGTGCACAGCATGGGCTGCCTGAAAAAAACAATATGCACGTCTCATATTGGAAATGAATTGAAAGCAAGGATTTAGAGAATTACGGTCCTTTGCATGTGAGAATACGATGGCATGGAGATTATTAATTCAATTTAAACATCCTCCAGAATCAAGGGGAGAGAGCTGGTACAGTGGTACTCAATGGATCAGGCTCGAATTAAACTTCCCCTAATCTTGAGGCAAAGGTGCAACGAAATAGAAATTATTGCATTCAGAAAGGAGTGATGGACTAACTTAGATTTTGATATTTAACAAATATAAAACATTTTCCATGTTGATATACAGTTACTTATATCAACACGAGTGGAAATTGAGAAAATGAGAAATTTTGAGATTTCAATATATAGTAATCAGTATTTATAAAAAAAGATAATTATCAGTATATCGATATACCGCAACAGCCTATATTTTACCTTTGCTAAATAGGTTCAAATCTGTTCCTTTTGGTGGATTTGCATCATAATACTCTTGGAGATTTGACATTAGAGCTTCCATTTGATCACTCGAAGCCACAAGATGACACCAAAACTGATCTAAATTCTCTACATGGGTGACTTCAATGTCAAAGTAGTTATCAACCTCCACAGGAGGGGGTTGGTAATCTCTAAAATCTGCCTCCACTGAAACACCCGGATGGTTCCCATCTGATACAGCAAAACCTGAAATGAGAAATAAAACAAAACTATGCTTTCACTTGAGAAAGAAAATTGTCTGAAATTAACCCATTTACTGCTATTACTCTACCACTGACAAATAAAATCGTCTGGCATTAGACAGAGTAATGACATTGCCAGTCAATAGGTTAAGGAGAGACATTTGCAGATAGGTTTGTTAACCCATGTACTGGCAGTACTCTACCACTGACGAGTAAAATCGTCTGGCGTTAGACAGAGTAAATACTAATGCAAGCCGCATTGCCAGTCAAGGGCAAGCCTGGAATTGCAAAACATGTTAAATATTTAGAAATATTATAAAAAATAGTGGTCACAAAATTCAGAAAAACCTGTTATACCTCCCCCCCCCCCCAATTTCTGGGAACATTGGGGGGGGGGGGCAAAACAAAGGGGGCCCAAGAACATTTATAGAAAATGTACACAGTCACTTGCTCACATGTTCACTGTTGCAGACTTGGTTTCATTTCTGGTTGGTAAAACTTTAAATTTTAATTTAAGATTACTTCACAATACACACACAAATAACTATGAAGTCGCCAAATGGGAAAGTAACGAACAGGAAACTTTGCCAAGGCCTGAAAAAGTGAACATAATAAATCTTCATACCTTTCTGAACGAGCAATTTATTAACGCTATACTCTTCTTCTCCAACAGTTTCCATGAGACTAACGCTGTAACGCTGGCTTTCACTGTGCGAGACAACTTTAATCACAAGTTCTTTTTCAATAATGGCATTCTGAAATTCCTCTATTGCCTGATCGGTCCAACTTGGGGCGCTAGGACTCACGCCGTATAAACAACAAGGAATGGCTTGCTGCGGCAACGCTGCAAACTGCGGTTTCAGTTCTTTGATTCTGGTTATGGGCAACGACTCAATGTTACCATAATCCACATACAACACTTCCACTTTCCGATTTGCAAGATACGATTCCAGTATGAGAGATCTATACCAACCGTCATCTTCTGTATATTTACCACAACACAACATGCCTGCTTGGGGCAAAGTTATGGTATCGTCAACATCACCAAGAGCATCATAATACTGATTTAAATC